TTTAATTCTTTTATATTCGGAATTTTTTTAATTTACCAAATAATCGGGCCAAATGTCAACTAGTCGAGGCCACATAGTCAAAGCGGAACATTCTCCATCAAAGCGGGACATTTAGCTAGTCTGGTCTTAACATTAATAGTTATTGAGTATATATCTTTATGAACTGTAATCTTATAGTAAATTAATTTCATATTTAAGTGTATTTTTTTATTATTTCATGCTGTTTAATGTGTGACAATGTTCTCAAAATGTGTAGGCGCATATATTCGTTTTATTGCCGAAAATGTTTAATAATTCATAAATTTGAATAATAAGTTCTAATTGGCCTGAAAATGGTATTGTAAACATATCCATTCTTTCTTTCTTGAGTGCAGTTTCAAAATGTAACAAAAATCAGTGTTTCCCTTATCTGGTTTTACTAAGAATCCCGTAAACTAATTGCAAGAATTTGCAACATTTTCCTTGACGTCCTTTCATCGCGTAAATGGTTAGCAGATTCTGTTAATAAATTGGAAGATCTTTGGTTGAAATATCGGCTACACTAAGTTTGATTTCTCTTCTTTCGCGGCTTCGAAAAATCCTTTATTATAGTTAAAGTGTGGTCGGAGGCAAATCATCATTAGGTACAAGTGCAGGTAGATGTGTACAGAACCATGGCCTTCGAGAAATATGTTCTTGAAGGTCGCGGCAGAATACCAGAATTTCACCCCTAGTAGTATTAGTATAGTCCCACCGCACCACCTGTGCAGCTCTGGTCCCAAATTTGACATCCTGGAGGACGGATCCACAGTCTCCCACCCCTCTAATGTCTACCTCTTTTGTGATACTAAACTGCCACCAAACATTCGAGAGAACACTCGGTTCACCACTATTATAAGGATCCCCATGCCGAAAAAACATTGTGCTCCTGCCTTCTCCGGAATTCGAACCCTTGTCTAACGGTATGGCAGCCAGCGTCGCTCTAACCATTACACCGATTAGGGTTGAAAAATCGTCATCGTCCGGATTTAATCGAGTGTTCAGTGTCTCTCTCCAGTCCCTTTTTAAATTGAAAAGAATATAGCCGACCATACAAATATAGTGTTTAAAATATAATGAATACCAGAAGAAACCCAGCTAGTTCGTTGAAAGATGCGGGATACGAATTCCGGCAAAAGTACAGTTTTCACCTTTACTATTTTCATAACTACTAAACCAGATTTTGCCACGGTTATAAAGGCAGATCTTTTCTTTAGAGGAATACTATATTCATTACATCTACTCAGTAAAAAACTTGAAATGAAAACTTAAAAAGTAATTTAATTTTTCTAACGCAAACTTTCCTTTAAATCTGCAGCGAATACTGCAGTAATCATAAGGATTACCTTTTTTTTCCGTATTTGTAATGGCATTCAGAAAAAAATGGCCATTCTAAGAAATCAATTTCGAATTCAGTAACATTACTTCCACCTCAGTTAAACGGAATACGCATATTTTAGGTTTTCGTTTTATACTTATTGATCAACTTAATGTCCCTAACTACAGAAGTAAATCGCTAGTCAGGATAGTAAATCGAAGAGACAAATAATGCAGTAAAATGAAACGCGATACGCACTTAAATACAGAACAATAACAAAAATACATGGTGCGTGGAAAGATATGTTAGAAACAGCTGGTTTCCGATCGACAATCCGTTTCCGATTATCTCAGATTTAAAGTGGAAAAGCTTGCGCCGAAAGGCATGACATAATATATGGATTTTTCTTTTCCGATTACCATTCTTAAAGGGAACTTTACCTTTTTTGCTGGTTTTACTTTCTTATATGGTACTTGAAGCTGCCCTGAGTGGGCAGAAGCTTCCGCAAAACTTGTATCCCCCAGATGGGTAAACTCTGATGTAAACTCGTTTTAGATTTCTAGATTATGAGAAAATAGTAAGCCCCCTGATTTCAACACCGGATGTTCTGATTGGCAGCTTACTTAACTTTTTCTGGCACATAGGAAATAACGTAATTCTCCAGCTAAGGACTCGTTACTGTCATTTAGCCAAATTAAAATCTATAATTATTATTTTAAGGAGCTTAATTACATCAAAACGCCAATGGCTGTTTAACATCCACAGTTAATTGTACAAAACTATGTATCTATATCGTACTTCGGTTATTGTTTATGATCAAAATTGAATCTGTTGTTAATATATCCCGACAGAGCATTAGTAGAGGCCTTCACGGGAGGTGTTAGTATCTCCAGATATTCAAATAGTGCAAGATATGAGATGACATGCGACATGCGACGGAGGACGTGGGCACCATCCCTCTACCAATACGGTTAATCGGTATAGCGCCAGTTTATGGCCAATTCATGATACATAAGATACACGTGCTAATAAGAACATACGTGGACAAGATATATACATATCAATACCTAAATAGGAATTAGGTGAAACATGAGATGTTATAAGGGGACATTCATAAGAACATATCTAAAGTGACACACATTGGGTGCACGTGCACTATATGTAATGTAAGATATAGAGAAGCAGAACAGATACGTTATTGGAAGTTGCGAGTAGGAGAGAATGCAGATGCGACATAAGATGCTACATATGCAGGAAGAAGAAATAAGCAGAAGATACATGGTAGAAGGTGCGAAATAAGAGCGAGATATATGTTACATAAAAAAGAAAATTGGCAGATGCCAAGATATGAGGTTAGGAAATCACTGGAAAATACACGGCGAGCCGAAAATCCTCTCGAGGAGTTGGTGGTAGGGAGAAAGAGGAAGATACTCTCGGATTGCCTCTCCCTGAGGTGTTCGTCCTCAAACTTTGGGGCGGAACTGCACAGTTAGTGCGGCGAGACTGTGACTGTACGACCAATGGTGAACTTCTTGTGTCTCGCTCACTTCTAGCTCGCAGTAAAACCATTAGATAACACCAAATTCATTTACTTTTAGGAGCAATGTAGAATCTTTAAGCAGAATTTAAGTGTCTTTTCTATCAATTTCTCAAGAATATTTCGAAAACGGGGAAGAAATTGGCAAGAGTGGATAGTGAGTTTCCAAAAGCTGATTTCTGGAAAAGACATAACCGTTAAAAAAGTATCACTTCTTACTAAAATCGTTACAGGGTGCAGTGTTGGTTCTAAAACATTCTGAAGTTTTATTCGAGCGTCGTTCAATTTTGCACAATTGGATTTAAACGAAAATAAGAGAAAATCATTGTCCACCTGAGATTTTGAAAAAAACCTACCTCCATCTAAGTAAATCAAGCTAACTCTGCTACTGGAACTACAGCTGGAAAGAAACATTGAAGGATTTAATAAAGAATAAAGTTTTTGATATGCACAAATTTAAAATGTATCTAAATGGGCTTAAGTTTTTAAATGAATGCACAGGGTTTCAAGTAGAACTTCTTTCTACTTGCTATCAAGTTGATCAGGGAAAATGAGATTGCATCCTTAAGATATCTTATATGTTCTAATTCCCTTTGTTCTCTGAACTTTTCCAACAATATTACAATCAGCGACAATTAGTAATCGAAATTTTCTTAACTGTCTGTTCATTTAGAAGTAGAAGAATTGATATTCGCGTCACCAATGTACGTGGTCATCGTGGAATTTATGGAAATCAAAGAAAAAATTTCTTAACAACTGCAGATGCATTTAATTTACCCATCAACATCGGCATAAGTATCCTAAAGAGTTATCGGAAGTCCTTTTGTTATAAGAATTTTTTATTCTATGTCGAATGAATAATAATATGCTTCATCTTGTAATGCTGGTTCACCAAACAATTCTTTACTTCTATTAAGCGTAGGCTGCATTCCGAGTCTTTCTTCTGTAGATATTTTTAAGTAGCTCAGTTTTTATCTGATCACAGTTAATTTGCAGATTACCTGTTTCGTTTCAATCTAAGAAAATATAACTTATACAAGTTTTTCAAAACATACTTCAAGATGTAGAACATATACTTTTTTTTCCTGTCCTGCTTTAGATGACCCTAGATTAGACTTTCTCAGTCACGGAAACTCGGGGGGAAATTTCATCATAATAAATTCTTTTTTTCATCTTTCTCAATTTCATTCCAGAACTCAGGGGGAAATTTCATAATTTCAAAGGGGAATGCAGTCAATCTTTTGTTCAACCGTTAAATATTTAGTTTTAATTTACGAAATTTAATTTACGAATGTAAAAAAGCTACTTTTACTCAAGTTTGGATATTTATCAACATTTTCGGTGCCTTTTGTTGTTTAATTTATAAAGCACGCTAACAAATCTTGTAAATCTAAATAAACGCATTTATATGTTTTTCTAGTTTTGGAAAGGGAGGGGAATGATCTAACAATGGTGAAAAGGGTGCAGGGAGAAAAAAAAGTTTGAGAAACACTGCCCTAAAGTATGCCTTCATAACGATTTAATAAGTTAAGTATAATTTGGCAAGTGAAATTATTTGTTTTCGTAAAGTCTAGACAGCTGTTTTTTTCGTTTGTTTGTTTGTTGTTGTTGTTTTCTTAATGCATGTAATATTTAATGATTTAATTAACTTCCTTTTCTAAGTCTCGTGTAGTGTATTTAGGGTACAAGAGGGAAGTTTTCATGTATTCGAATTAAAAAAAGTCTTAAAACAGATTACTAGTTTTTTTAAAGTAAGTGAAAAATGTTCTGAATTTGTTTACAAAAAATTAAATCTTAATCAGGAAGAAAAAACTAATCGAAAGAAATATAGAAAAAATTCTGCTCAAAAGCACTTAAACTATAAAAGAATAGTATACAACATATCACAGCATGCATTTTTGCAGGAAATTAAATTCTTTTGCAGTGAAAATAGAATTCTTTGCTTTTACCTCTTTTCATAGCTTTAATTTACTTTTAAAGTAAAGAAATCTCTGTATTATAACGGAACACTGAATCTATCAGTTTCATTAAATATTAAAACATTTTCTATTATGCAACGAATTATTAAGATATTTTCATGTCGAATATATTCTTTAATGTGTTTTCGCTCTTTTTGCTTTTTTCCAGGAATGCTATTCTATGGGTTGACCGTCCGTTACTATTGTGGGGAGTTCAGGTAAAATATGTTTTATATTTAACTATTCTTTAACCATTGATAGTTTTATTCTATATCTCTACTATTAAATCGGTATAAAATATTAAGGTACTTGTCTTCTTTAACGGCCTTAGTGAAAAGGCGAATGGCATTAGCGCGATTCGGGCTTAAGAAAGTGTGATTTGTTGTGGAACGTTGTAAATATCCACGAAAACGAAACTAACTACTTTAAACAATAAATCGGCAATTCATTCATTATCTCTATAATAGAAGTTATTTAATATACACATATAGAAGGAATTCAACATAAATTTGTATTTCTTTTAGCGTTTAATTCAGTTTTGTCAGCAATTTATTTAAAATAATGGCATAATTCAATAGAACTTATACATTAATTGTCGTATTTAATACAATTATGAAAGCAATTTATTTAAAAATAACAGCATAAACAATCACACTGAAAAAAATTATACTTATTGTTCTATGTTATACAATACTGGTAGCAATTTATTAAAAGAGGAAAAGTATATAGAGGAAAATTCATTTTTTACATACTCTTTTTGGTAACCACAGATAATGAGTATTTTACATTAACTCCGTAATCAATATTTTACAATGGAAAACCGCTTTGTTGACATGATGCCCCAGAAAAACAACTAGATCTTTAGTTAGTTGTTTCTCGCACATGTGTGGAGATCGGTAACTATTTGTTTCTTGTCAATGCAGAAAGGTGACGAATCCACTTTTTTACAGACTACAAGTATCAATATTAAATTACAACTTTAATATTGATACTTGTAGTCTGAAACGCAGAACTCAGGTTATGTGTATGCTATTAATTTGATTTTAGTAATGAATTAATTGTTCCAATAAGTAAAGGTTAAATTCGATTAGATTATTTGAATATGGCAAAGAACAAGAGGGAAATTCATCTCTGCCTAGGTAAAGGGATACTTCTGTGAAAGAGTTTCTGAGTGAAACTGGGTCGTAAACACGTTACGCATGAGGGAAACCACGGAACTCTGTCATACAACAAGTTCGTTTGCCTAGATTCGAAACTGTGGCAAACCACTAGTATTCAGCGGTGGAACTACTCGGCCACTGATGGAGCCCAGTCAGGAATGATCTCATATTCGAGATCAGGTCAAAACGTTTCTAGCCTGATATATTTCTGAAAGAACTAAACTAAAAAACTATATTTTACAACTTTTTATTGGTCCTTAAAAATAATCTGAAAGTTTGTTAACAAAGTATTAATAAGCCTTCTTGCTACCCAGCCGCGATAGTGGTTATCGACGCTGACTGTCGAAAGACTCGGGTTAGAATTCCGGAGAAGGCATGGTTGTTTGTAACTATATAGTGTCAGCACGGCATGAGGGCACTCTAAATAATACGGCGAGCCGAAAGTCCTCTCGAAAGGTTGGTGGAAGGGAAGAAGGGTTTGGAAACTCTTGGACCTGTCCTTCCAGAGTGCTCTTCATCAAAATCGGGGAAGAAACTGAACAAAGTCGTACTGTCTTCTGCATGGTGGTGAAGGTTCTTGCCAATGACAGGCGCAAATGCCACGATGAATTCCGTGGTCTTGTTCTGAATCCTTGCCACGATGAATTCCGTGGTCTTGTTCTGAATCCTTGCCACGATGAATTCCGTGGTCTTGTTCTGATGTTACTGTCAAAGAAGTGAGATAAGTCGCAACGACAAGCCTTCTTTCACAAAGTTCAGATTTGACTTTAGAGAACAGACAAAAGTAACTTGGAGTTAGATCTAGACTACTAGGGTGGGAGTGGTCAAGTTACTAAAATTAAATTCGCATTTAATTACAACTTCTTCGACTAAAAAAGATTTATAGACTGGAGCAGTAAATCCCAATTTGAGGTTCTCGAAGCCTTTCCTTTTTCCTTTTATAGATTTCCCAAAAAATATAAAAAAATAAAATTCAAAGTAACTGCATATACCACATTATAGCTGAAAATCTCAGAGTTTGGATATTACACATAAAAATCTGCTATCACTTTTCTTCCCATTTTATGAAATTTATTATCTTATAAGGTATTTTGCCCGCCCTCTTAGCATGCTTTATGTGGTCTTGTAGTCAGCACCCTCGGCGCATATTCGATAGGTCCGTGGTTCAATTCCCAGCGAGGGCATTGCTCATTTTTCATCTCTCCTGATTTAAAAAAAAAAAAACCCTTGTGTCATCTACAGTGACGCTCGAACTAAAAGGTGGTGGATGATGATTCTTCACCACCAGGATTCGGCGATTGGGTCCCCTACTCCCCAGTTGCCCTTTAAAGGGGGGAGTATATAAGGTATTTCTCCCGCCTTCTTAGCATGCCTTCGTGGTGTAGTGGGTAGCACGTTCGGCGTGTATTCGAGAGTTCCGTGGTTCGAGTCCCAACGAGAGCATTGATCATTTTTCATCTCGACTGCTTTCGATAAATCCTAATGTCTCTACAACCTGTTACCTATCGTAATTCCATATAGATTTTACACTCTAGTCAAAGCAACAAAAAAGGGATCTAAAGCATTTTCATTGTGCCATTATTTCGCTGCAGATCTTGCACAACTGGAGTCATTCCAGAGAAAGGCGGAATAAAGTGAAAGGAACAATTTCATTTTAAAAATTATTATTCAGTATGTTTCTACATATCAGTGTTAGAAAGAGTTTTTAATCAAGCTCAAATAAAAACGGAGTATAGAAATCAATTTAATGTATGTGCCGATCTGAGACCAATGCTTGCCAGCATTTTAATTATTAGCAAAATTTTAATTTTAAAAAATTAGCAATCATTAGTAATTTATTAGTTTCATTAGCAATTTTTTGTTATTATATATAATAGTCAAATGTCTATGTCAGTTCTTAGAATTTAAAGTTCTTTGAATAGTTCTTTAGTACCTGTTGTGCTGTAATTACCATTTTTGAACTTTATTAGCATCTTCATTCTGTTTGACAAATATCTTGCCCCATAGTTTAAATGGTGTTTATTGTATTACAGATGTTCTTAACTGACACACGTTTTTTAAAAATAAATTTCTTATATAAATTTTTTATAAGAACTTTCTTTTTTTCATATTGCATATCAGTTCACATAAATATGTGGCAGTTCTAAATGTGGTCTAAAAGGCATAATGGCCAGATAATCATAAGATACGTATATTTGAGATGCGAAAGTTGTCAAAATAGGTTAGAAGGAATCCTTATCTTCTCTGCTTCATAATTAGTACTCGCTTTAGGTAGTCTTCGTTACCTATAAGACCTACATGAGCTTTAACCCATATAAGTTATATGTATACTTGATTAGTACATTGAAAAAAAAAATGTCGAGTATTGATTGTATTGGGTAGATATGCTTGTAATTCAATATTACGAGTAAAATAGACATACTCTTGATGTAGGTAATCGCATTTCCTGTTGCTATTGTAATTAAGTATTGGTTGGCTGCTCCAATAGCTAATGCTTCAGCTTGAAAAAGACTATTTTGTTGTTTGAGATGTTCTTTCCAGACACAATGCTGTCTAATCATATAAAAGCTTTGCCAACTCCTTCAATAGTTTTGGATCCATCTGAGTATAATAATAGGTGTCTGCTGCATAATAAGATGATTTTGGATAATGCTGATTAGGATGTGTGTGCCTGACCTTTTAGTCCAGGATGCGTCTAAGATCATTATGGGTATTTCGTATTGCATTAAATTATAGGTGATACTGTTGAAGGTAGCGTCTTGTCTTACTTAAATGATTTTTAATACTCAGTCTATTCAGCTCGCATGTGAAATGGAATCATTCCGGCTAGAACAGACGTTTCCAACAAGGATGAAATTTCCTAGTTTCAAAGTTGGAATGCAGTTTTACTTAGCAGTTATGTATTTACTTTTAGTTCATGAATATAAAAAAACTACTTTTATTCATGTTTGGGTATTTAGCAATATTTTCTACACTGTCCGTTGTTTAATTTATAAAGCACATTGGAAAATAATCTAAATCTAAATAAATGCATATATATTTTTCCGAGTTTTGTAAAGGAGGGGGGAAATTATCTTCTGCCAACGGTGAAAGGGCTAAAAACGGCTTAGATACTGTGCTAGAATCATTGCTGCGGCAGTGGCAATTGTTCGAGATGCTTTGCATAGGTTCAGGGTGAAAGCACATTGGAGCATTAAGAAATATTTTATTTTCCTTCTTCCCACTAGTTGTGCCCATACTGCTGCTGAAAAAAAATGCTTCTTTTCAGCTGCTATTGTGTATATGATTTTTTGAATAGGTGGATTTGGGCCCAGCTGGCGTTTTGGTTTGTTTCTTAATTTTGATATTTTTATTGGGGAGTTTAAATCCGGAGACATCTCTATAGATTGGTATCCGATCTTGATATTATTACTCCTGATAATTTTCTTTTATTTCGAGTTTTAAATTTTGGCATAGAGACGGGAATTTTGTACATGCATTTGTAGTATACGTTTCGAGCTCTTTTCTGGTATATACTTCAATAAGGATGGCAACGTGGTCAGCATACTGAAATATATTGATATATACAGTTTGCTTCAAGGTTGGAGTTAAATTCCATGGTAGAAGACTCGTTCAGGATCCCTACAGACAACCTCTTTACTGAGGTTTGGAATAGTCACCATTGTGGTGTGCTATTAATAATGTTTTGCCTGTCAGATAATAGTCAAAACGTTTCAACAGATTTGCTGGGCATTGAGCTGCAATGGGCGTTCTCTTAACAGCCGGTCACTAGAGGTTGGCAAAGAGATAGCACTAGAGGGTAACAAAGAAGGTGGATTTAAAAATCGAGGATCTTGACAAGACCTTCTTCCTTTTAACAAAGAATACCACTTGTCCTTTTTTGCCAGATTTCGAGATTTCTGTAGGAGGAGATGATTGAAATATGTCGAAATCATCAAGGCCTGGGACCTTTTTCCGTCAAAGGTTCCGAAAATCTTTTGAATTTCTTGATCAGTAAAAGGGATATCTTCTTTATTCACCAAAACAGTTAGGTCACCTCTGATTAATTTTTGCTCCGG